GACCTAACCTATCATCCTTTGTTTCACTATCTTACAGAGAACTTTACCTCAATTGTCAGCGCTACACCATAACAACTGTATGTATATTGCACATCACCTTCTCACCTTGGGCCACCAGTTCAGACCCAAACTACCAGAGCCACTTAATCAGAGTGTTGCTTCTTTTGTGGACCTGGTTCCAACCATCAGACAAATGGGTGAAAAGTGTTTCCTGGAACAACTGGTCAGTATCAGCTATTTAATTTCCCCGAGTGTTTGAAACATTTTAGCTCATGTCACTAGTGATTGTCAGGTAAACACAAGTACCAACATAACTTACCTGTTCCTTCTACAGAGAAAACAAAAATCAAATCTTCTGGAGATACTCAAGGCCACAAAAGGGTTTGCTAATGCACATGAAGATGAAAAGGGATTGCAGGTGGAAAGAACAATGAAACAGGTGGGGAGAACTCTTGACTTTTCCAAACAGCTTCTACATTCATGTTCCAGATGAAATTCCAAGTTTTGCTTTCAGTCACCCATTAAGTAGACTTGGTCAATGCTCTATTCTCTGTCTATCTTCTAAGGCAATATTGATTTGAACAGATGTCTAGTTGCAACTGACTTGCACATGTATAATATGCATCCTACTATTTTTTCTAAATGCTAGATTGATTTATCTAACAACTTCATCCACGTTATGCTCTTTCAGAATTTCCAATAGCCAAGTGATATTTCTCTGTTGGCATCCATTTAATCTAATTCAGCTCTCTGAAATTAACACAAAACCAATCCTTCCTTCTTTCTTGCATGCACCATTACTAATCCCTAAGACTCAGCAAAGAGCTTAATCTTCATTTCTTGTTTTGGCTTTTTCTAACAGCTATGTGTTTGCTCCCATGTTTAGATCCTCCATCTTCTAAGCAATCTAGGCAGAATATGGAATGGTATTCTACCAGTTGATATCTACTGTCAGTCCTTGGGAGCTTTGTTTGATGATGTCTTACAAAGTATAGCATGGGAAGTCCTCCAACTTGAGGTGAGACAAGGGCATAACAAATTTGGTAAAGTGCTAATACATGCAATCTGAAACAATTTGCTTTATAATAAGTTTAACCACCCAGTAATACTTGATTAAACACCAATGCATGGACAAACCAATCAGTTTCAGAAGAAGCAGCAAGGCAAAAGGGTAGTAGTATGGGGCTTCAAATCAGATAGTCCTGGGTTAAGGCTTTTAGCCAGAATTTGAAAAGTGGCCATCCAAAATGTGCCCTAGGGCCTAGCCCCACTCAAATGGGCAATTTATAAGGCAACATATGAAAAATAAAACAATTTTCTTTAGAAAGTGGCCATCTACAGGATGCCTGGACACCCATCTGGCTAGAAGCCTGCCTGGGTTTAATTTGGTCTTCACTCTGACAACTTACTAACTGTTGTTGTTCACAGAAGTTGTAAGTCAACTTTACCATTGCATTAGGAACAACCCACTGGTCTACTTCCTGCCAGTTACATGTAGCATTCTTTCCCTTGTGTATTGTTCAGCTGCCATATGTATTGTGTACATTACTCATTGGAAAGGATAGCCTGCAAACGCAGACGTATTTCCGGCTGTTACTTGATTCCGCCGAAAAATGTTATTTTTCGTCCGAACCAAGTGACAGCCGGAAATACGTCTGCGTTCGCAGGCTATGGAAAGGACTGTCAGTGACAATCCTTCTTTTATTTTACTCTGTAGGATATCTCAGCTGAGGAGGCTCATCAGCTCCATTCATTACTCTCCATACTTGTACAGCGTGGCTCTGAAATATTCCAAAGCACCCAGGAAGCAGATTCAGATTCAGCAGAAAATACTTGGGTATGAGTTCCTATGAAATCCTAACTGCCTATGAAATTCCTTGAAATCTCAAAACTTTTAAAAGTAGGGAGGGACCTTCCATAAGCAAAGACTGCCTCTGGATCAGAGGTCAGTTTAGGAGAAATGCTCATTAAATGCATGAGACATCACGTCTAAGAGTCCATGGCCTAGGGTCCAGGTACAGTGTTTGTTTATGGGAGGTGCCCATTAGTGATGGTTTAGCACAACTGTAATTGCTGAAAGCTGTCATCATCCTTTAAGTACATGTAATCTAGCCTTATTACAGCTAAACACTGTGTTTGCAATTCAGGATATATGCACAGTTGTACCACACTGGATTCGCTATAAGGAGTTGATTGCAATTTTACAAGCAAGTTTACAAGACATCGTGGATCGATGGGCAGATGGAAAGGTACTTGCCAACTCAAATAAACTCCATGTTTATTTAGCGATATGTTGTGATCCAAAAAATCATAATTTGATACTAAAACATGATTTTTACTCTCCTCAGGGTCCCTTGGCCCATGAATTCACAGCTCAAGAAGTGAGAGGCCTTATAAGGGCCCTCTTTCAGAACACTGACAGAAGAGCAGCTGTACTGGGAAAAATTAAGCCAGTGCAAGGGTAGAAATGTTCCAGACTAATGGAACAAATATATATGGATACAACGCTTATTATCAGAACAAAATTAGCTTTGATGGAATTGAAGAGACTTCATATTGTGTTGTCAAGAGACCTGCCAATAACTTGGCAGCATATGTCAGAGGTGATGAAAGACATTCATAACTTACTCATTTAACTTCATGCATTTTACAAATTAACAGCATGCAAGAAGATTGTAAAAAAATTGTTGGCATTGTATAGTTTTGTATCTTGATTTAGTTTGCACTGAGCACTGATGGAGAACTTGAATCGCTGAAATCTTACTACCATGATCTAGAAATTGATAGACCTTGATGATACCTTATAAAAGTAGAAAGATTAAATTCCAAGTTTATTTAAATGTGTTGTGAGCTTTTTATAGCTCTCACAGACCTGCTTGCTCCAGAACAGTAACATTCTCCATTAGGAATGTTCTATGCCATCATAATGGTGAGTAGCTCTGGGCTACTGATTGAGTGAGGTCAATCTGTTGTTTTGGGCAAGAGTTTATAAGGTGTTAAATGTTCCTGATCTAGGAATTGCCTGACAAAATGTTGAGGGGTGACCTGCTGTGATCTAGCATTCCTTGCGAGGAAATATCAATGCTCCTTATTTCCTTCATGCTACAGAAACCGGTTCAGTGCCACACCGGTGAGCAATCTGGCTCCCCTGATTTACTGGATTGGAACAAACTTCCAATAGGCCATTTCCAAGTTACCTTGTGCATCTGTTTCAAAAT